CCCCCTTGATCTGTCCGTCCTCCCTGGACTGACCTATCTCCTCCCTAACTCCCCACCTACACTCACCTTTACTGGGTCTATCCCCGCTTCTTTGACCTGTCTGTTTCCTCTCCACCTATCTTCTCCTCTATCCATCTTCTATCCGCCTCCCACTCTCTCCCTATTTATTTCAGAACCCCCTTCCCCTCCCCCATTTCTGAAGAAGGGTCTAGGCCCAAAACATCAATTTTCCTGCTCCTATGATGCTGCTTGGCCTGCTGTGTTCATCCAGCTCTACACCCTCCCTGAATGGCCTACCTGTCTCCTTCTAAAACTATTCCCCTTTGTTCTGGACCCCTCTACCATGGAGGCGATTGTAATGCCACTGGCCCTGAATAATGCTGTAGGGACTTGGGTTCAAATCCCAGTATGGTAGTTAGTGACTGTGTAATCCAGTTAATTGATCTGGAATTGAAAGCTATCCTCATAATGATGACTGGAGCCATCAATTCTCATAAAAACAAAGCAGGTTTGCTAAAAGTTCACAGGGTCACTGGAAGCGAAAGTTTAACTCTGCTTTCACTCCACAGATGCTGCCAGGCCTACTGAGTTTCTCCGGCATTTCTTATATTTTAGATATCCAACCTTTATTACAGCTCTGTGTCTGTGACTATGGTGTCCCTTTAAATATTTTGAACAACTTTGAAAAGATCAACCTTTAACATCCTCCTGAATGCAAGGGCGGTGAGATCTCTTCCAAAATTAACCTGTTAAACCCTGTTTCAAATCTGTGTGATGGGGGAATAAGTGGTGACTGAACCTTGCATTATTCCATCAGATAAGAAAGCGAGATATAGCCAGAGATGGTCGAGGCAAGCTGTGAAACACACAGAAATATGGCTCATCTGAAAACCAGGTGAAAGAAGGTAAATTCGGTAATTCTGTAGTGGGTGGCATTGTCAGATTATCTGTGCTGGGTATGACGGAATGAGGAGGAGGGGCTGGGGGCTGGAAGTGTTAGCCATTAAATAAAGACCAGGTTTTATCGCCGAGGCTCTCTCTAATCTTGTTTCAAAGTATCCTGGCTCTGGGGCTGGAGAAGAGCCACTCTTAGGCGCCCCAAGGCAAGCAGCTGGATAGATTTAGAAAGATCTCTGGATGCTTCCTCCTTGTTGAGATCTCCGCTCCTGTGAGGAATTCACAAGGGGCTATAAACTGAACTGCCAGTTGTTTTCTCTCTCTCTCTCTTTCTAGTTGCAACAGAACAGTGTGACTGCCAACAGCGCTGTGAAAAAGCATCAGAGCCTCAGACAGAAGACATTGACTCCAGTTTGCTGACAGCCACCAGTACTGCCCTGGCCGAGAGCAAAACCCCCCCACGCCCCCGTGTCTGTGTCCGGATTTCCTAGCGATGCTGTGAAGCTGGGGATGTGTTGCTGATGGTCTCCAGAGTCTTTCTGTCTCCTCAGGACCAAGTCTCCACTTCAGCCGCGTTCTTGGAGCTCGCTTGCAGTCCTGAGCAATCCTGACCGAGGAGAAAGAACCGGGAGATGATGGACTAGGAGCTCACTCACACACACATACACCCACACGCAATGGCACCCGCGATCTTCAGGACTCTCCTCGCACTTTTTCACATCGCCCAAGGTAAACGGCGCCTCCTTTGCCCGGGGTCTGACAGAGCCCGGAGTTAGACACGGAGTGAACTGGGGAAGGGCCAGGGGGTGGGGGGCTTCATACCCAGTGTAGGGAGATGTGTGCATGCACCCTAGAGGGACAGGCAAGAAGGAACCTTATCCCCAGGTCCAGAGACTCAGCGGTGAACACATTATTAGACAAACAGATAGATGGAGCGAACAGCTAGAGGGGAACAGGCATTTACCAACCTGCATTAATTTACTAACCCGCTGTATGTGGACAAGAGCTTTGTAGATGTACAAGGGACTTACCTCATATAGGGTTAACACTGATTTTCATCCTATATCTGGACAAGGGCTTTCACACTATTATGTAAAAGGGGCTTAAACAATAATATAAACATTAATTTAACACCTTAGAAATGAAACGTGTTTTAATGCTCTATAGATGTACAGGGTGCTTAAACCACATACGTTGATTTTTCATTCTACATTTGGACAAGTGCTTTCGCACTCTATAGATGTCCAGAAGATTTAAACAACATATAGATTAACACGAATTTCACACCTTACATATGGACGTGCTTTAATACTCTACAAATGTACAAGGACCTTAAACAACGTACTGGTAAGCCTTGGCTCAACACAATATATGGGTGTGCTTTAACACTCTATAGAAATACAAGGCTTAAACAATATATAGATTAGCATTAATTTAACACCCTATATATGGGCAAAGACTTTAATACTTAATAGTTGCACAAGGGCCTTAAACAACAGATTAGATTAGCATTGATTTAACATCCTTTAATATCCTGCTGGCTAATCAAACCAGTGTCAGTTTCAAACCGAAGCGTTTCCTATTTCCGAGAGTGTACTTTTTGTTGGTGCTGTTTCTAATGCACCCCTCAGTAATATTGGACAGAAGGCGATTTAAGGAGACTGGAAATACGATTCAATGGAAATGCTTTGGGAACAGAAGCAAGATTCATTCAGTTGCAGTCGCCTCTATTCCGCTGCCTCAATTTTTAGCAATGTGAAAGTTAATAAAAAAAATGTAAGAACGGGCGACTGCGGCTGAGTTTTGTTTCTGTTGTCTGGAATTGGTCGGGTCTCTAGTTTGAATCAGTGATTGCTTCTCATCCCAGTTTAGCGGCGATGACTGGTTAATAGCTGCTTGATGTCAGTTTCAGGATTTGGCGTTCATCCAACCCAGGAAATTGACGTTTTCGCCGCATTGCAACTCAGTGATTCAACCGACGGCATCGTCCAGGTCCTAGGATTCCACAATGGAAGCCGGGCGTTTCTATTCCAAGGTAACTACTGCCCCGCCCCTGTCACCAGGCTAACTGAGTCCTCATCCATCCCCAGAAGGAATGCTGTAGTTACACGCGTGGGCTGGAGTACACGAATTCAAGAGTAATGTGAGGTTAAAAAAAACAAAATACTGAAATCTGAAATGCTAACAGAGAATGCTGGAGAAACTCAGCAGTTCTGGCAGCATCTGTGGAGAGAGAAAAACAGAGTTCATGCTTCAAACCCAGTATTACTCTTTTTCAAAACAGAATATTGAACTGAACTTTCAGTTCTGCATAAGGGTCATACCACACTTGTAGCATTAACTCTGTCAGACCTGCTGAGTGTATAAATGTAGCGTTAATCCAGAGAGAGACTGCGTTTGTATAAGATTAAAATATCAAAGCAAAACAAAAGAATCGGGAGCCCTTTCTGCTTCCGAACGAAACACATCAATGATTTATGGAAACTTTCCTTGCGCTAGAAAGATCCATTAAAATTAGCGCAAGCGATAAACCTTGTCCCTGGCGTTTTCTTTGTACTGAGAACACAGAGACCAGGCTAGCCCAGCGGGTAAATACATCATCCAGACCTCGGAAACAAAACGCGTACCCCTCAATGAGTTGGCAAATACTGCGTGACAATTGGAAACAGAACAAAAAAAAATCCTACAGAGGAAAACATCTTTGTTTGCACACAATTGGACAGAACAATTTTTGACAGGATCTGTTGTATTAAACCTAGTTATCCTTCTCGTTAAATAAGCTGGAGCGATCCTAGATCCTTTCTGGGAAGGTTTCTTATTTAGATTACAGTGTATACTACTTATTACCATCCGCTTTCCCGGGTGGGGACTGGGGGGTTATGATATTGACAGTTGTGTGGAGGCCGGCTCAATAAAGCTTTCATAAGATTTGGAGGGCTGCAGTTTACATTTTAAAAATTATCTTTGTGTGAGATGGCAAGACCATTTTCTTTTTGCCTAACCCTAATTGCCCCAGAAGGCAGTTAAAGAGTCACCCACTTTGCATGGGGTCAGGAGTCACATGTACGCCAGACCAGGTGAGGACGGCGGATTTCCTTCCCTGAAGAACATTAATGAACCTGATGGGGTTTTATGACAACAGTCCTCATTGTCAAAAACCAGATTTCTATTGAATTTCACCATCTGCCATGGTGGGGTTTGAACCTGTGTCTCATTATCAGTTTGAATGTCTCAGTGGTAATCCACTGACATTACCTCCACCTCCCCATATAGTCAATGACATATTGGCCTAAAAGCAAATGGAAGATGTTTCAGTAGAACATACAGCATGCTCTTCATCCCATCATATCCGTGCCAACCATGATGCTATTCTAAACTAATCCCATCAACTGCTCATGGTCCATATCCCTCTCTTCCTGCTGGCTCATGCATCTGTCTAAATGCCTCTTAAATGCTTTTGTATCTGCTTCTACCACCGTCACTAGTAGGTTATTCCAGGCACTTTCCACTCTCTGTGTAAAAAAACCTGCCTTGCATGTCTCCTTTAAACCTTCCTCCTCTCATCTTAAACCTATGCCCCCTAGTATTTGATTTTTCCATGCTGGGGAAAAAAAGACTCTGACTATCCACCCTATCCACTCCTTTCATAATTTTATATACTTCTATCAGGCCACCCCTCAGCCTCCAATGCTCTGGCAAAAACAATCCAAATTTGTCCAACCTCTCCTTATAGTTAATACACTCCAATACAGGCAACATCCTGGTAAACCTCTTTTGCACCATCTCCAAAACTTCCACATTCTTTCGATTTAATTAGTTTGATTTAATTTATCATTATCACATGTACTTTGAGTGCTATCCAGACAAATCACACTTTACATAGGTATATCAGGGTAATAGAACAGAATGCAGAATATAGTATTCCAGCTGCAGGGAAAGATCAGCTCTAATATATGAAAGGTCCATTCATAAGTCTGACAATAGCAGGGAAGAAGCTGTTCTTGAATTTGTTGGTATGTGTTTTCAAACTTTTGTATCTTCTGCCTGATGGAAAAGGGTGGAAAAGAGTATAGCCAGGGTGGGAGGGGTCTTTGATTATGTTGGTTGCTTTCCCAAGGCAGCGGGAAGTCTGGATGGAGTCAATGGATGGAAGGCTGGTTTACGTGATGGAGTGGGCTGTGTTCATAAGTCTCTGTAATTTCTTGTTGTCTTGGGCAGAGCAGTTGTCATACCAAGCTGTGATGCAGCCGGATAGGCTGACTTTCTGTGGCACATCTATAAAAATTGGGAAGAGTCATTGTGGATGTGCCAAATTTCCTTAGCCTTCTGAGGAAGCAGAGGCATTGCTTTCTTGACTGTAGCATCGATATGGATGAACCAGGGCATCCTGTGGCGACCAGGACTGCACACAATACTCCAAATGTGACGTAACTAAAATTTTATAAAGTAACAGTGATTTTAAAATAACCAACTTAAAATATTAGCATTCCTGATTGTATGAGCTTACTGCGCACAATTTGACTCCTACACATTGTAACAATGACCACATTGCAAGATATTTAATTTAGCTGTGACATGATAGCTTTGGGATGTTATGAATTTGTGAAAGTTGGAACACCACTATCAGTTTCTCCTTTTCTCAACACAAGGCAGCAGTAAGATTAACTTTTCTTAGATGTAGCAATCTAACCTCTATACATTGGAACAAAAACAGAAATTGCTGGAGAAACTCAGTAGGTCCAGCAGATCCTGTGGAGAGAAAACAGAGTTAATATTTTGAGTCCTGTGGCCCTTCCTCAGAACTGGTTCAGAGTTCTGATGAAGGGTGACTGGACCTGAAATGTTAGCTCTGCTTTCTCTCCACAGATGCTGCCAGACCTGCTGAGTTTCTCCAGAAATTTCTGTTTTTGTTTCAGATTTCCAGCATCTGCAGATCTGTAATTCTTTGGTTTACTCCATACACTGGAGACTTCAGCAAGCATTTAATATTAACTGCCACTTACAGCTCTGCTTCCCTTCCCTTGGAAATAATGTTAACTGCTTTTACTAAGCAAAGTTTGGTTGATAACAGTTGAGTGAAACACCTTGGAATGTATTACTTCAATAAAGGACCCATATAAATGTAAGATGTTGTTACAAGTGATCAGAACTAAATCAAAATGGCGGACAAATGCAATTTTGGTGTAGGCACGTTAGCCATAACTTCATTCTCAGAGAGTGGATATTGCTGGCAAAGCTTATATTTATTTCACAACTTGAATTGCTGTTGAGACAGTGATGGGAGAGAATGTGTTCAGATGGTAGTGATGGTTGAAAAGGTGGCAGGGGGCAGAAGTGGGAATGGGGATAGGGCCAAAGTAATGATTGCTTTCCCCCGCAAAATTGGAAAAAATGATGTTACAAACCATTTCAGCTTGATTATTACAGAATTTGCAATAACATTCAGCTTACTGCACGTTCTACTGAATATGATTGCTACAGTCTTGATACTTACAAAATACATTCCATATTAGGCATGCAGCCCATGGGCAAATGTTGGAAATTATCCAAAATGCAATAGAAATAAGCTTTTACTGTCTTTACCATATTCCAGTCTGAAGTACCATGATATATTTTTAATTGTTTTGATTCTTTATAAAGCACATGGCTTGAAGCATTCCACAGCCTCCAGCCCCTTAGTGTACTTTGGCTGACAGGCCATGGACTGTGAACTTTCCTCATTATATTCCTCCAATGATTGCCCCAATCTTTAGTACATCCCTCAGCATGTAGTCCTTTGGAATTTGTCTGTCTGCAACAAGGCCAACTCTTTGCACTGGAAGACCAGCAAACTGTGAACAGACCAAAAAGCATCTTGCATAGAGTTGAGAGATTGTCGGAACTGCAGATGCTGGAGAATCTGAGATAACCAGGTGTAGAGCTGGATGAACACAGCAGGCCAAGCAGCATCAGAGGAGCAGGAAAGCTGATGTTTCTGGCCTAGACCCAGAAGGGTCTCCGAAACATCAGCTTTCTTGCTCCTCTGATGCTGCTTGGCCCGCTGTGTTCATCCAGCTCTACACCTTGTTATCTTGCATAGAGTTGATGCTTTTCCAGGTCTTGTTGATGTTTGTCTTGGTGGGCACCCTTGGGAACAGAGAACCCTCATCATGGAGTGCTTGTCATAAACCTTGGCAAAAACCATTGCATCTGTCTTCAAACCTTCATTGCAAAGGCATATTCTACATGGAGTTGAACAACAATCTCTTACTCACTACATCCTACATGGGGTCAAAATGTGCAGGGGGAGGTGTGAGACTCTGAGCATGCGGAATGGATCTGACAGAAAGGGCATTTCTTACCGCCAGCCAAACAATGCTTTGATGCTTGTTTGCAAGTTCAGGCAATGAGATATTCTGCCAAATGTATTTGGCAAAGGTCTCAATATAAGGGATGAAACGGACAGGAGAGACAGGGCAGGCTTTGCTGATTTCAGATTTGATCAGAAAGTTTTATGTTTCCCACCTGTTGATTGAAACTGCATCCCATTTGTGTAGAGCAGTATCATCCAATTGTGAATAACATGCACAAACTGCATTTTGGAGACCACATCTGTCAATGAGGTCTGTAATATTCTGTTAAAGTCCTTCTTCTGGTCCAGGGTAATGAGGCAGGTATCCACCTTCCTGTCCCTGTATCTCTCAGAGACCTTCTTGTGAGGGTGAATTGACAACTCCACAGCAGACCTGACCCAGTTGGAGTTCCCAGTCGTGAACCATTTCAACTCCCCCTCTCACTCCTCAGACGACATGTCCATCCTGGGCCTCCCGCAGTGCCACAACGATGCTACTCAAAGGTTGCAGGAACAGCAACTCATATTCCGCTTGGGAACACTGCAGCCGAATGGTATCAATGTGGACTTCACAAGCTTCAAAATCTCCCCTCGCCCTACCGCAATCCAAAACCAGCCCAGCTCGTCCCCGCCTCCCTAACCTGTTCTTCCTCCCACCTATCCCCTCCTCCCACCTCAAGCCCCACCCCCATCTCCTACCTACT